TGCCTTGTATTCTTGGTGTTTGGGGGGGTGGGCAACGGGGGAGGGGCTTCTAGTGTCCTGGCCCCATTGCTGGACCCCCTGATAGTATTTTTGGCCACTGTGTGACACAGAGTGTTGGACTGGATGGGTCCTTGGCCTGATCCAACATTGGCGCCTCTTATGGTAAAGGTAAAGGTTTCCTTGCTCGAAAGCCAGTCGAATCCGCCACTAGGGTTGCGGTGCTCATCTCCGTTTCAAAGCCGAAGAGCCAGCGCTGTCCGAAGATGTTTCCGTGGTCATGTGGCCGGCATGAATTCCTCTTGATCGTTTTTCTTCTTCCTCGCCCCCCCCCAGTGCTCTTTTTGAGGGGCTGCTTTTCTCTTTGCCCCCCCCTTCCTTGGATACACCCCTTGTCTTCTTCCTCCCTCTCCCAATTCCGTCGCACTTGTCCTTCGGTCCTCTGTCCTGTGTCTCTTTGCCCCCCATCCCAGTTAAGAGACTCCCCCAGTCCCCTTCCCGCTTGTTGGCTGCATCTTCTGGCATCCTTGTAAAACTTCAATCTGTCACTTCCCTTTGCTTCTTCTCTCCACCTTGGTGTCATGTTTCATGTGTGTCTCTTCTCTCCCTGTTTTGACCAGGGCCATGGCTGGGGGGGGTGGTCTGTCTTCTCTCACAGTTATCTCAACCTCAAGTACTTATTTTAGGTGCTGTGGTCCCTTCTGTTGGCTTATTAGTGGTCCATATGGCCAGATTGCCTCATCTTGCCAGCTGACCACTCCACATCCTGGTCTCCCCCACCACTTTGCCCAGATGGCACATGACTTGCCTGTGAGCATAATATCTCGCAGCCCCTTCACAGTATCTCTTTGTTGAGCTCCCTCATTCTCTTGGAGTCGTTTTTGTCCTTGTTCTGCACTATCCTGTAACCTTTTGCTGCTGCTTTTCTCCTTGCGTATCTTTCTTCTGAACATACTTCTGTTTAGCTCTCCTGCCCATTGCCAGGAGGCTGAGAGGCACAAAGTGGTGTGTGTTGTGCTTTAGGATGCCTCTGTCTCTCAGAATTTGTTTCCACTCATTCAGAATGACTGAATAGGTGTGCGCTTAGGCACCTGGGGGGAGTGTATCTTGGTAAGTGTGGAGGGGAGTCGATGGGGTTTGATCTGTCGCTGAAGACTTAAGAGCAATTTTTCTTTGTGACTCCTTGCACACTTTTAGCAAGTGTTAGAGGTTGGGGTAAATGTTTTTTTTTTCACATCCCAGAAGAAAACCTTTGGATATTTTTCTTGAAATCAGGTGCAGTTTTTAAAAGTGTGTGTGGACTCATTTTTAATTGGACCCATTAAACCAGATGGGTTTCCTTTAAAGATTCTTTACTGCAAAATCAGATCCATTCTAGCTGTATTGTTTAATTGTGTTGGTTTAAATTCTGTGGAGCTTGAAAGGATGTAATTGCTACTTGAATTTGTTTGAAATCATATAATTAAAGGTTGTAACCTTGGTAAAATCATCCCCTTTTGTTAAATCTTTTACAGCATTTTGGTACTTTGCATTTTTGTGGGTTTTTTTGTCTGGTGTTTATTGTGAAAATCAGTGTGGCATAGTTAACAATGCAGCAAAATGGTTATTGAAGCACAATAGACAATCAGTATGAAGTTTGGTATTTTTGGAACAGTTAACATGGTGTGAACGTAATCCAAGAGTGCCTTATTTTGTTTAAACAACTTGATTGAGTCTCGTAATCTTAAACTGAAATTTTCCAGAGAGCTGAAAGTCTCAGGTTTTATCTTAATTTATAGAATTCCAAGGCTTTATATTGGATAAAACAAAGGATCTGGTTCTTTTGCAGCAAATGTTTTTAGATGTTTTGTAAACAAGCAGAATACGGGGTTGGGTGGGGAATATATATATATATATATATATATACTTGCATCCCTTCCTTGGAATGGGTGACTTTAAACTAAAGCTGTGAGGTTTGCCAACCGTCCAGTTAACCTGCGTTGGACAAAGGACCGAAATGGCTATTCTGATGCAGAAGGGTTTTTTAAAATAGAAATCCTCCATTGTGTTGAAAAGCCCAGACACTGACATAATTGTGGTTCAAAGTTCCTCGGGATAATGCTCCTACTGTGTGTGGCTAAGCAAATGCTATTTGCTCGCCGGCTGACTAGCTCGCATCTGGGAGTCGAGCATCATGCCAAGGGATGAGGGTGTCCCTTATCAGTACCATTGTAGCTGCATGCTTGATGCTCTGTTTGCTGTCCTTATTGAAGGAAAGCGTGCGCCTTGTTTCCTTTTGTCACGCTTTGGCAGAGGCTTGGGCGAGAAGAGCAAACCTTTTCTTCTTGCTCAACAAATAAACCAGGCTAAACTTTTTTTGCCAAGCATTTTCTGTTGTCATGGCAACTGTGCACAGGTGATCACAGTGGTTCATTCCTCCAAGAGGAGAGTGATGGGGGGATTCCGCTGGAATTTTGTTGGCTTTAATCCTGACGCAGCAAGCCGTTCTTAAAGGGCAACCTTCCGCTTAATGCAAAGGCTTGGTCTGATCTTTGAAAGGATGCTTGTGCCACTAATTCATTCTTTTCAGATTAACCGTGTGGAGAGGGAGATAGAAATAAATTAAGACAATGGAAGAAAATACATTCAATAAGAGAACCGATAAAGAAGGAAGTGTTTTCTAACGTGTGAGATTTTTTGTTTTTGTTACGATGCAATATGTTTGAGGCTAAAGATGGATAGCTTGAAGTTAATGTCTTGCCATGTTTCCATGTGTTGCATTGTTGTTCTGAAGATCGCAAAGACAAAAATTTTCTGTAGAAGAACTGCAGTTGCTGTAAACTCAATGCATGACACACCAGTGGATCCCAATACCTGTTGGGTGAAATCTGGAGAGAGTCAACTGTGCTCAAGTCAGAACTGTGAAAATCCAAGCCACTTGGATGTCCGGAGACAACTAAAATATTTGGTATGGATGCCACTTAAAGCACTTTTCAGCTCTTCTTTTTGTTGTTGCTGTGATTAAATCTTTTTAAAAGTTGTAAAGAGCCAGTTTGGTGTAGTGGTTAAGTATGCGGGCTCTAATCTGGGAGAACCGGGTTTGATTCCCCACTCCTCCACTTGCACCTGGCTGCATGACCTTGGGCAAGCCATGGTTCTGATAAGTGCTGTTCTTGAAAAAGTGCAGTTTCTGTCAGAGCTCTCTCAGCCCCACCTACCTCCCAGGGTGTCTGTTGTGGGGAGGGGAAGGGAAAGGAGATTGTAAGCCGCTCTGAGACATCTGTGGGTAGTGAAGGGCGGGGTATAAATCCAATCTCCTCCTCTTCTTCTTCTTCTTGTTATTGGTTCTGTTTGTACTTGGGCTCTATAAACAATATACGGGATCATTGTGGACTATACAAAGTACAATAGAAAATAAACCACACCATGTACAAACTCAAATAACACAAAACTCTCTACTTCTAATAATCTCTACAAAAATTGTGTTTTTAAATATTGTATAAATCTTACAAGATATATTATCTGTTACAAAATCAAGTCTCCTAATATATCAATGAAGAACTCTTGGTGTTTTGTGGTATACTTTAATCAAGAAACAGTACATATGATATGACTGAATAGAAACAAGACTTATTGAACATAAAGATTCATGACATGGTGGAAAACATTTCTTTGAATTGAGTTTTGTACTGATGGTGTAATAATTTATTCAATGATATGTTTGGAGACTTGATTTTGTAATAGATAATATATTTTGTAAGATTTGTATAATGATAAACACAAATTTTGAAGAGATTAGAAGTAGAGAATTCTGTGTTGCTTGAGTTTGTACGTGGTGTGGTTTATTTTCTATTCTTCTTTGTACTTAGTCTGTAGCAGCAAAATAATATGGACTGCCCACTTGGAATGCTCTTAAAGATGTCTTTTGTTTGCTGTAGCATAAACAAGCTTTAACCTCTGATTACCCATTTCTTACCTGGCTGTCTCATAATTCAGGAAGTTTCAGTTCTGTGCCTGTTTTTTGGGAGGGTGTCCCACGGACTCACTGGGCCCAGTTCCAGAGGAAAGATGTTTAGGATTGGGCTGTGTGTACTTGCTTATTCGATGGAGGAAGCCTTCAGAGTTCTGTAGCTACAAGGCCTGGACTTCAGCGAAGGCAGGGTTGTGTCATTTTAGTAATTCTCAGGGATGGTGGTGGTGGGTGGAGGTCAGTGGATTGAGCCCCAGATGCAGTGAATTTGGCAGATGTGTTGCAGGCTGCAATTTATGGGAAATGTTTAGAGCTGAAGACAAAACAAAATTCTGTAGCTGAAGACAAAACAAGCTTCCCCCGAAGAAATAAAGGACTCTTGTAATCCTTTATAAGGCCCAGATATGGAACAAGCCACATACATAGAGCTCTTTTGGAAAGGAAAATTCCAGTGACCATTTGGGCTTTTTTCAAAGGAGCCTGTGATAATTAACTCTTCTACATGTGGCCTACAGCATATGTGTTGCTGTACCCCGTGGGCTGTGCTTCCTAAAAAGTAAGGCAGGACTGTGGCCGCTGTAGACCGGTCTTTAAAATAGTGCGTGCCATTTGCAGAGGAGGCCACCATCTTTCTTCCTTGGAAAAGTGATGATTTTTAGTCCTGCTTTGCCATATGTGATATGTCCTATATGTAGGTTTCAAATTAGTTTATCAGAATTATTTATCCATTTC